ACTGTTTTGGTTGTGTTACATCATGAATACGTAAGTTAACAGAATTTTCCTGAAAGTTCCATAGCATGACAGTAAAAAGTTCGTGTATACATGTCAGCATGACTAAGCATTCTAGAATTTTCTAGAAACTTATCTTTACAATTATTATTACCATTTTTGTGATTGGCGCTCGTGATAATATCGGTTTTGCCTTATGTAACTCAGCGGGAGAAAACTATTTCATTTTAAAAGCGGGATATTGGCCGGTTTCCAGCTCAGAAGCCAACCGTATCCCTAAGTTCGAGTCAACTCAGTTTTCTCCTTTTTCCTTTAGTTTATTGTTTTTTGGTTTGATTTCTGTGTCAAAATGATGCAACAGGGATGCAAGAGCCCCTGGTTTTTAACTTTAAACGTTTACCCCGTCTTTTGTGACGGTCAATTCTGCACTGGTTCACAGCTGCGTTCAATGCATGAGATAACATTCCAATGCATCCACAAGTTGTCCTCACAGATTCCGAACTCTTTCGATAACACACAACTGAGGCATAAGTCCCATTTTAACGAAGAACTGTCTAAACATTGCGAAAAAATGAGAGGGAAGAGGAAAGAGGAAAGAGAGGAAATAGAAGGCGGAAAGATCATGAGATTTTTGTGATTGGCCCCCGTAATAACTTCGGCTTCGGTAGTGGAAGAAAACGACAAAAACAAAATTTGAGTCATATCTCATTTTCAGGAGGAAATAATAAAATAAGTCTAAAAGTTATATAAATGTAAGTCGGCGTAAAACGCGCCTAAGTCTCATACAAAGTGTTATTTTCAACAGGTAGATAGGACGATATAGGGGATTTAACTCTAGATGGGTGGAAAAGAGCACGCTATAAAGTGTACACTTGGCGTGATATTGTTTGCAGTACTACTCTGACTAATTGAGACGAATTACTTTCCCGCAAATGAACCCTCCTCCTTCATGTCACCAATTTCTGCAAGAGAGGCAAAAATTGATGATAGTGGCGAGTACGTTAACAGACGTTCTAGGCCAAAGATAGCAGCAGATAAGGAAAAAAATTATTGTAACGACCAAAGGATCTGAGAGCGTTGGCTTATAGTATAGTGATCATTAAACGCGACTTCTTTCTACTAGTGTTCACGGTAGCCGCTCATTCTCCTGATAACTTTCAAAAATGTTGTTATTTACAGGTAGACTGTACTACGACGGAAACAAAAGATTTATCACAGGATGGCAGGAAAAAAGTACGCTCTAAAGTATATACTTGGCTTGATACTGTTTGCAATGCTACTGTGGCAACTTCGGACAAATCATTTTCTCTCGAATAAAAATTCCACCTCCATGACACCAGCTGCTGTATGGAGAACGAAAACGGATGACATGAAGGAACCTGTTAAGAATAGTTCAAAGCTAAAGATACAAGCTGTGAATATCACAACACAGCACGGCATAAATGTAACAACCGAAGGATCAGAGACAAAGCGTTGGCTTATAGTATATTGGTCAAAGTTTTTTGGAAGAAGGCTCGATCTTCACGAGACATTCGAAAAAGGCGACTGCCCAGTACCGTGTGAGTGGACTAGTGATCAATCCAGAGCAAAAGAGGCAGATGCTTTTTTAGTCCATGCCAGGGACCCACGACCAGACCCACCAATAAAATCGGTGCCTTGGATTCTGCAGACTCGAGAAAATCCAATTCACACACCGGTATTGAACGACGCCAGCTTCATGTCGAAATTTAGCTACTTGAAAAGTTATCGGCTGGACTCAGACTTTCCAGATCCCTCTGTCTTGCTGCCTGGTGTAGCACCCCCTGTTCCTTTTAAGAATAAGACTGGGCTCATCATGGCAGCTTTCTCAAATTGTGAAGTTGTTCGAACCGAGTACATGAGACAGCTGATGAAGTTTGTAAAGGTTGATTCTTTCGGCGCCTGTCTAAGGAACAATAATGGTCTAGTGGGTAGGTACGGCAAAAACAAACAGGGCACTGATTTCAGAGATGCTAAATCCATGCTGGCCAGACAGTACAAGTTCAACCTGGTGTTCTTCAACCAAGACTGTAATTATTTTGTGGATGCTCAACTACACCACGCAATGGATGTAGGCTCGGTTCCTGTTGTCATGGCTACAGATAAGCTGGATGAGTTTCTACCCGGGCCCTATCTTAACCGTTCAGTGATAAAAGTGCGTGATTTCAAGAGCCCTCAACTGTTGGCTGAATACCTCAAGTATCTTAGCAACAACGAAACCGAGTACAATAAATATCTGGAGTGGAAGTGGAAAGGATATGGCAACATCAGTGGAACTGCTATCGGAAATTATTGGATGCCAAAGTATCCGTTGTATTGTCAAGTTTGTGTTGCACTTTCGAAAGGGAAAGGACACAAAGAGGGTCTGAAACCATTCAATTGCAAACCAAGGAAATTTGAAGACTGGGGAATTACAAAAGGAGCCTAACTTAAGTCAACTATTGTCAGTTGTAGAGGAAACTGTTAGCCTGTGGAAACCGACGTTAATTAGAAATACCGGTAAAATACTGCTTATAAAGAAGTATTAATTTGGGAGAACTTACGACACGAGCAATGGTAATGCTTTTGATGTTATAGAGGTGCTGACGATTAAGAATAAGGAAAATGAACGCGACCTTCAAACTGAAGTTGGTCACTGTGTTGTGCAAGTGTGTAGCTCAAAACAAAAGTGTAAACAACAAAATATACAAATGGGAAGCTGCATTAAAACATTGAGTGGCAAGTGAATTAAATTAGAAGTAGACCCAACATTCCGTTTGGTAAGCATACCTAAGAATTTAGAGAAGGGATTGATGTCAACTCAAATTAAACCCAATCTTTCAGCAAAGCGCATTGCCCGTGAAATCTTAAACAGGAATCTACTCAGATACTATTAATTAACGAGGGAATGTCGTCGCTGCATCCTCGAACAAGACTGTTCAAAGGGTCCCATGTCTAAGAGTAATTCTGCTTTCACGACGGAAAAATTTGAAGCAAAATATATTAAAGTTCACACGGCAACCAGGTGGACAATCAGACATAGTTTGATGCTACTCTGGTTTACACTAGTCGGCGTTACCACCAGCGCCTTTGTTTGGAGGCTTGGCATATTAACTCCGCCCACGCTCCTTTAAATCGTGACGATGGCGGTTTGTTTCCTGACGCCGCCTATTTACACCTCGTCAGAAAAAAGGCCTCCAATTAGTGATCATATAAAAGGACCTCTTGTTGCAGCGTTTAGATCACCTCTAATGAAGGCACCAGACAGGAGTGTCGAAACGTTGGGTCTATGAATTATAACTTCTTAGGTTACATTCATTAAATCTGCAAACCAGAGTAGCATCAAACTATGTCTGAAAGTTGAAGCACTTCACTGTTATCTGTGCGATATACATTTGTTTTCCTTCACCTGTAACGTTTGGCATAATGGATCATGGTAACGACATAACACTGAGCTTCTGTTCGCCTTGTAGGACCTGAGTCTAAATAAAGCTGTGACGTTTTTATGCGATATTAAAATAACACTTTTTTCCCATGCATATTAAATTCTTTAGACCTCCTCAAAGAAGTCAACGGTGAGATTATTTCGTGGTAACTTCTTACCGTTTGTTTTTCCTTTCGCAAAGGCTTAACTTAAAACATTTTTAAAATTATTCCGTGTTCACAAATAATGAATGATCTTAATTTTTTTCTATTGGACTTGCAGTCAGATGTGATGAATGTAGGATAAGGTTGTCGGCCAGAAAAAAAGAGTGATCACAAATCCAAATTAATGCACTAAAGCAAGTGGAGAATGGAGGGTAGTTTGTGACGAGCGGTGGGCAGAGTTTTTCGGGTTTGGATGGCCTTACGTGAAGAATTTCCTCGGTGAGTCTTTCTGTAGCAGATAACCTTGAGGAGGTTTGAAAGTTGGCGAAGAGAAAAGTTGGACAAATTGATAAAGTAATCTTTAAGCAGCACCTTGTGCAAGTTTCCTAAAGACAACGAACCAGAAGCTTGGTTAACGTAAATCCTAGATTAAAACAGTGAATTAGTGTTTCTCCTGATCAACAATCCCGTAAATAACTGACTGGATCAGCTGAGAGACCCATTCAAAGGTCCACTGTGAATTCTCTCACTTTTACCACAGCACAATTGAACGTTGTTCTTGTTATACGGCTCGACTAACTGAATCTCCCACACTACGAAGATAAACCCTTTAAATCCCACAGGTGACCAAGGCAGAATTTTTCCTTACATTATAATCAGTTGATCCAATACCAGATTCTTCTAACTAACTTTATAAGAATTGGATGGCAGACACTAAGGAGAGTTACTAGTGAGATCTTAGGAGTGAAAGAGTTAAATTGAAAAGATTACACGAACCTCTTTTGAAGAGGTGCATTCCTGTAGAGTCAGTAGCCTATCAATGAGACCTGCTGTGGTTCACTCTTGGAAGTATTTCCCCACATACAACTTTGTTACCCTGGATTTGCTCAACATTTGCTTCATGAGTACAATAATCCCATTCAAGAACAAGCAAGGTTTGATTTTTGTCATAAATATTTAATAATGTTGATTTTAATTGTCACTTGAACCATTAATTCACTTTAACGAGATGAGGTAAAATGAATGATGAAAATTTAGTGAGTGAATTCTTGTTAATCTCGTTTTATTTCATTTTAAGGATTGTTCAACATTATAACACTTTTAGCTCTGATATTGTTGCAAAACAAAATTCTTGCATGCTTCTTCTCATCACTGATCAGCAGACTTAACAGAGTAATTTTTAAATGTTTTAAAATAAAAAAAAGTCAAGGAGCTTCTTTTTTTCTTGATGTAGAAGTTAAGAGGTTCAACCAGTATTGTAATGGGGTGCCAATATTCCAGCAATCACAACTTCAAAAAGTCACTGGAAAAAAAAGAAAAAAATAATGAATGCTAACACATTTCATGGAACTGCAGGGTTGTGGAATTATTCAAGCTGCATGGTTGTGGAATGATAAACTCATCAGTAGTTTTCCTACTTACCGAACATCTAACTTCAGTAGAGGATCAATGAGCTGTTTCCATTCCTCCACAGTCCAAGCAGCAGATGCCTGGCTAACAAAAACCCCATTCAAGAAGAAAAATGGAGTTCCAGAAACTGTCCCTGAAACAAACAGAAATGAAAATAATGTCCAACAATCTCTCTGGTGGTATAGAAAGTTAATTCAATGTTGTCATGACAGTTAATGTTGCAGTTCATAGCTTACATTTTATCAAAAAGTGTGACTTCCAAATCCCACAAAAGTTTTAGATTAAAACAGTGAATATAACACAAAGAAAAATAAACTCAAACCTTATTTGAAAAATCTCAAACCAAGGATAATTTGAACCACAATACATATCCAAACAAATACTGAGTAACTATGTAACTCTTATCCCATCTCACAAACTCTTTATTTTTACTCAATTTACTCCTGGGAGTGTGAGAGATTATCATATAGTGTCATCATTGATGAAGGCAGTCTGGCCCAGTCATAGGTTAGGGCACTAGGCTTGAAATCTGTTGGTCATGAGTTAAAGACCTCCATGCTGTGACTCACTGGATTTGTTCTCATTTGCCCCAGGTTTAACTCCTTAGCTGCACTTTGTAATTTTAGCCAACTGATCTACCTCTGGCTTAAGTTGGGATTTGTAACAATTTAGGCTTATTTACAATGTGAAAAGCTCCATCGTAGGAACAGTCAATAAAGTATACATTACATTTCCCATTCCACAATTGGACATTTTTAAGGGTTTTCTTGAGGACTGTAGTCAGTTACAGTGCTATGAGTGGTTCATATTTCTAGGGAAATAAATTAATTAGCCCCAGGCCTACAAGCTAAGCCTGGCCAGAGTTGACAGATATTTGGTTGATGTTTGATCATCCGTTTTGTGTTTTGTTAATTTGATCATTGTCGTTGTTTTATCATAACAGATTTAAAGTCACTCAGTAACTTGGGTCTGTTATCAATTTAAATAGCAGATGCTTGGAGAGTACCAAGCAAAAACAAGCATTGTAAAATCACTGAAACTAATGGCATAACATCTTACACAAGCTGCTAAGGTAAAATTAGTCTGTTACAGTTGATGGTATGATTTGAAATATTTTGGGCTGACATAATATAAACTACAGATTTGTATTACTTAGATCTGAAATTAGGTTTATCACTGATCTTAATGTAATTTGACTAGCTGAGCACTTAACAAGTCCTAAACTTACTTGAACAACCATATTTCCAAGAAATTTTTGTATGTTCATTATATTCTGTGTTTGTAAGTCCATCCTTGATAACAGTCTTGTCAATGTCAATTTTACTTCCTAAATCAGCAATGATGCTACAGGTATGAGAGAAAAGAGAAAATGATGCAACGTCATTGGCCTGGGTGTTAAGAGTTTGTAAAAATTAAGGAAAAAGTGAACAAAATTGCATGTGCAACAAAAAAATCTTGCATTTCTAAACTCAGCAGCTGAGGATTTTGGAATTGTGGTTTTAAGGATAAAGAAGCCAGTTAGGATTACGCTTTCATTCAAAGTGATAGGAAGTCTAATATTAAAAAAATCTGTTACTGAGAAAAAGCTTACTTTATGACATCATATCTGTTTTTGTCCATAGTCTGGAAATCATAGAGTTGGTTCTGGTTCTCAAATATGACATCCATCCAGCTTATCACAAGGGAAGTATTGTAAGCCTCCACAGCATAAACACTCTGAAAATTAATCAAAGTTGTTTCTAACACTTCAATGCGGGATGCAGTATATTTAGATAACACAGTGTTACCAAAACTTTGCAGTAAAATTTGTTATAAAAACCAACCATCCAATAGTTGAATCATGAAATAAATATAAAATACACTCTTAAAAAATTTGGAAAGTTATATGTGATTTATAAGTAGCTCTGAGAAATTAAACTATATATCATTTCATGGTAGCAATAAAAATAGCACAATGTCTTTGTTGATATGTATATATATATTTATTTGTTAACCTACAATTAGTGAAAATCAATCTCATTAATATGAATCTTGATATAATAGTGATGAGGTCTCTTCCTAGATTGAGCAATTTGTGTGCATGCAAGTCATAACACTTGGATAGGACCAGTGGTTGTGCAAGCTAATGCAGAGTTTTATTGCAAAATTATTTTTGTAAATCACTGTTTAGATATCTGAGTTTGTTCCATTAGCAATCAAGCGTTAGAAAGCAAACAAGTTGATTTCTAACTTCTGAAGTAGTTTTTCTTTCACCCACAGCATAGGCAGTTTAGATTATTTCTATATTTCATTAGTGTTTAATAGTTATTGCTGATTAATGGACTGTTGTTTGGAAGATATTCTGTCAAATTCTTTTTTTGTAATAGTCTATTGCTTCATGTTTGAAGGATAGTGATTCAATTAACTGCCTGATCCCAAAACAAGATGACTTAGCTTAATCCTTTAGCGTGAATGAAGATAATTCTCAGTCTACTGACTATTTGTGCTTAAATTTCTGTCACATAGTCACAGGCAATCATTTAAGTGGAGAAAGGGGAAAGGTAAATTTCAGAAGATGATTAGACCACAAGATACCTATGGAACCAAAATTTTGTTATGATGCAGTACTGCTACCAGTTTTGGTGCATCATACTAAGATTTAGGTTTTTGGGGTTTAACAGTCTTAGCCATTTTCAAAATTTTCAAAATCAGTTTTTCAGCTCTGACATGACTAAATGGTTTATGAAACTGTACAGGGAAAATGGAAAATGAAAATGGAAAATGGAAAATGGAAAATGGGAAATGGAAAATGAAAATGAGTGGTGAGTATCTAGAGCTTTTTTACTTCCAAGATCTTCTACACTTTGTTGTCTCCAAGTTGCGATATATAAGCTTGTTTATTTACGTCATGTCACGGAGGTTTATAAAAATTGAAAATCCTGCGACGAAAAATTGCATGCGCATGCTAAATAACGTCAAAGAATGAGGGTGCCTAGAGTTAAGGTTTTCCTTTAAAGTAACCTTAGAATTCTTCTTACCCAAATGTGTTACCTCTGTTCATGATCTAGGGCTGTTGTAACGTTACATGTTACATAACTTCGATGATGCGAGTATAGACAAGCCGATATATATTTTTTCAACTCACCTGTGCCGCTAGGAATGCATTTGTGTGATATGGCAACGGGAACAACTGCAAGGTAAACTGGACAGTTTCAGGACCGTACATATCTGCGACTTTTTTGAGAGTCGGCCATGCTTGTTGACAATCCGGGCAAGTCAAATCAACAAATGCTTCCAAGTGAATTGGTGCAGTCGGCTCGCCTCCTTTATAGACAAAACCCAGCGGACGTTTAGGTAAAGGAATCTGTGAGTTACCAGCAGATATCAATACTGCAGCGAGCAACAGGTGCGACACAAATTTCGTCATGACGGTTTCACCAGTGATAAATTAGTCGTGTGCCACATATTTATTCCACCAAGAAAAGTCACATGACGAAGAGGCACGTCACGCGACAAGTAATCAAGGTTGACTCAGCACCAAGAGGATCTAAAAATATCGATCGTGAGCGAAGATAGCCTACGTGTAGCGATACCCTACCCCCCAAGTTTTCACCTGGGGGGTAGGGGTGGGGGACTGAAGAGTAGTGGACGTAGATATTAGTTTTCCACAAAATTTCGTGACGTATTATCGTGACAATATCCAATATCTGGATTCTTACAGCGTTAATTCACATCAAGATAACACACATGGATTACATCGTCATGAAAATGTTTGCGTCAAGACCGATTTAATTGCCTCCACTGAAAAAAAAGGGAAAGGAAAGAAAGATTCTTAACTTATTTACGTTCTTTGAAAAGTACACGATTATTCTTTTCCGCTAAATGTTTTTAATAGTCTCAATAACAGATGGACCCAGCCTTTAGTTTCAACACACTCGAGTGTTAAAAAACAGCTGGGGGCAATTTTGTGTAACAACTATGTCTAGTCATTATTATGTTGGTTATATTTGTTATTATGATGTCTGAAAGTTCAAATCACAGCTTTGCGACTGACACAAACCAGAGCCAAGATGGAATGATAAGTTGACTAAGATGTGACATGGAACCCTAGAAGTGTAACGTAAAACGAGAGAAAAATAAAGAACGGTAATCAAACATCTACCATGTCATCTACGTGTGTTTCGTGATGAGGAGACAATCAGCATACTACATAAACATCGCACGAGCGAGGTCTGGCTCGACTATGATATAAGGTGTTTCGCATCATGGCTAAAGATGCGCGAAGAAAAGTTTTAATTCTGCAAATTGTTTGTGTCTTTCTTGCATTATTGTCATTGGGTCTGCTGATCGCATTAATTGTGGTGTCAACAAGAGATAAGAATGGAAGTTTGGAAAATGGATCGTCCTCCCAAGTCAATGATTTTTGCCCAGATAACACACGGCTGAAACTTCAGTCAGTACGCTCCACGGGTCTATTCAACGACTTAACCAAGGATGAGATCATCGCTGTTCGTGACTACATCCTGAGCCAGCCGTCCATGAACGTTACACCTTATGAACAAGCGGCCATAAACATGAACTTCATATACTTAATTGAGCTGCAGCAACCACTTAAAGACGAAGCGCTTGCATTTCTCGATAGCAACAACGACGCCTTAAAGCCCGAACGCAAGGCTCGTGTCGTTATTTTTAATGGAGGAAAAGGTAACCCGGACGTAAAAGAATATCTCGTGAGTCCAGCTGCGAAACCGACCAAACATGAAGAAACAACCGGCCCCGGTCAAAAATATCCGATTCCGTTTGATTCTCGCCCACCGGGAGGTAAGGATATCGAAGTTATAGAACGCATTGTCTTGAACGTAACAAAACAAGCCTTTGACTTGCTGAAGGAAAGCTTCGATGGGTACACATACAGTGGCTGTACTGACCGCTGCTTAGTATGGTCCGAGTCTGCACCCGGACAGTCTGGCCACCGTGAGAAATGGATCTGGTTTGTTCGGAAACTACAGGGAAGCTACGTGCATCCGGTTGGCTTTGAGATCTATCTTAACACACAAGGCAACGATGTTTCCTTGTGGAAAGTTGAAAAAGTGTTCTATTATAATCAGTCATTTGATAGTGTTGAAGAACTGATGCAAGGTTACAAGAACGGCACTTTACACAAAGTCTTTCTCCCTGCGCCATCTTCCTCGAGTGAAACGCCTTTGTACTCGTCTTATTTTCAGCGAGGAAAACCACAACCCTCGATACCCCTGAGACCACCCCAACTGGTTGAGCCCGATGGTAAGCGCTATACCGTCAGCGGAAGTCACGTGGAATACATGAAGTGGAGTTTTGATTTTCGTTCCCGCAGTTCCACTGGGATGCAGCTGTTTGATATCAAATTCGACGGCGAAAGAATCGTGTATGAACTCAGTCTCCAGGAGGCTGCAGCATTTTACTCAGGGTGGAGTCCCATGCAGATGATGACCGAATATCTCGATGCCTCCTGGGGCATGGGCAGCAGCAAGTTTGAACTAGTCCCAGGCGTTGACTGCCCAAGCACGGCCACATTCTTCGACACAATTCATTTTGTAAGCAGCAGTGAGCCAGCTACTTACCGGAAATCGGTGTGTTTATTTGAGCTTGACCTTGGTCTCCCGTTACGCAGACATTTTGATAACGACTTTGAGGGTGGTTACAATTTCTACGGAGGAATGCCAGGAAATGCTTTAGTTTTGCGCTCCGTTTGCACTGCATACAACTACGATTATATTTATGATTATTTGTTCTATCCCAACGGTGTCGTGGAGGTCAGGGTGTCGACGAGTGGCTACGTGCAAGCTACCTATTGGACGGCAAACGAGGCTCCGTACGGTACCGAGATTCATACTGGCGTTGCCGGAACTATTCACGATCATTTGATCAACTACAAAGTGGACTTAGACATTGGAGGAAGAAAGAACTCCTTTGAGAATATCGACATCAAAGTGGAAAACATCTCTAATCCCTGGTTTCCAGGCTCCAGAAGAATACAAAAGGTGCTCAGTCGCAGCCTAAAGCAGACCGAACAAGAAGCCACCTATCATCAAAATTTTGAACATCCCAAGTACCTGAACTTTTTCAGCGATGGAAACGTGAATAAGATGAACGTCAATCGCGGTTATCGTATCCACATCCGAGACATGATGAAACAAATATACCCCAATGACTGGGAACTAATGTCAGGAGCCATCTGGACACAGAACCAGATGACGGTCACTAAACGCAAAGAAGAGGAAGAGAGAAGCTCCTCCATTTATAACCAGAACAGCATGCACGACCCCGTTGTGGATTTCTCAAAATTCACTGCAGATAACGAAAATATAGTGAATGAAGATCTGGTTGCCTGGGTAACAGTGGGCGTGATGCACATACCTCATTCCGAAGATATTCCGAACACTGCCACTGCAGCCAATTCAGCCAGCTTTTTCCTGCGACCGTACAACTATTTCAGCGAAGATCCATCCATGTCGTCTCAAGATGGAATACTCATTTTGCCCACCAAAAACGGCGCTGACGTCAACACATTTGGAACTCCAGATGGACCTTCGTGCGCTATAAAAAACAAACCTGTGAAATACACTGGTAATTACGGAGGCGCATAACAATTTCAACCCGTTACGGGTCATTAGCGTATACGCCTTTGATTCACTAATCAGGCTTAAGATTACATTTAACCGACGTTACGTATCTGTAGTGTGATGCATAGGAAATCGTATGAACGCCTGTGCAGTTTGAGCTTTTTCTTTTCGTTTATTTTGTTTGCGTTCGACGTCAGGAGAACACAAACTTTTCATATCGCTTTTTCTGGATACTGAGAAATTTACAGGTTTGAGCGCCATCTTGAACTGGCTGGCCACTAGCCTCGATTTTTTATGCGAGAGCGTTGGATCCCGCCAATGTGATGACATTTTCTTCAGTGTTCCATAGCAATGTCCATAATACCCAAATTCACGATTGGTTCAAGTTTACAACTTAACCAACCGATTGCGGTTTAGGAGCCTGATCGATTTCACTTGACTTGATATGTTAATCCTTCTTATTGTAACCAGTTTTAGAAACTTTAAAATGATTCTGTGCCAGTTTCATTTTGTCAAGTTGGTTTACATGGAACATGACCTGTAAGGAATAAATGATACCAAGATAGCGGCTTATACCCGCAACTACATCTCTTCTGCTCCTGCTTGTGGCACCTAAGTCAATCGCAAATACGGAGTGAGCTGATCTAGGTATTTATCCAACCTGAACCGTATTACCCTGACACAAAAACACTATCTATAGTCCACACATGGGTCTCACTTCCTGTTCAATCACCGAACCCGTAAACGTCGCTTGTTTCGGAATTCTATCAACACATACTTCTTTTCCTCAGTATTTAATCTAGATGTAAAGACTAAACCATCAACAGAAACATATTGCAACATATCTATTCTCATTTCCACATCAAATTCTTTCCTGTAACACGGTTTAAATGTCCCTTTCTTATTGGAGCAAAACTGCAACATTACAGTGCGACGTTGCGTTCTAATATTGTTGGTGAGTCCGCCTTAAAAAGTAAAGTCAAACTACATCCTTGTTAGGATCGTGCTCATGATGGTTATCACCTATAATCAATACCAACGCACTGAATGACTTCATTACGCCACGTTACCAGTTACCACATGATGCCTTGCGTCAATCCAGGGCCCCACGGATTTGTGCGCCGTCATTTACTTTCCCTTGTCATTTAATACCTATCTTTTCGTTCTCATTAAGAAGATATACATCTTAAAATGTTTGGTGTCTTAAAGTGAAGTAACCTTCCCTTGAGTTTTTTTCATTGGTATTCATCCTTGAACATCTGATAAATGTAGGTTGTTGTGACTAATAGCAGTTGCATGATCCGCCACACTCTGTTGCCAGGTAACATGTCAGTAAAAGAAGTACCTTGGCTAAGGTATTGACGGTCTGTTGTTGTAGAGGCGATGGTGCGAACGACAACTTGTGTGCACACAAAAATAATGATCAGGCGAAGGTAAAGAGGTCTGAGACCTTTTCTGTGGGGCTGGAGATCCACTTCCTGTAATGTACTGTATTCATCATCCTAAAAAATAGACTAGATGACTTTAATCAAATCCTTTCACTGCTATTAATGACCGTTAAGAAATCCCTTCTTACAGTATCAATACACAGCCATGCAGATAAGTGTAGCGAAGAAAATAAACTAAGTAACAGCTAGAAGTTATTGTCCGGATATCACGCCAAACCACTGAAAAGAAAATGTATAGCTGCTCGACGCATGCACACCCTTGTTCTGTTAAAAGCAGCTGCCTTTATCCTAGAATTTAAAGGTTTCTGATTGCCAGTTTGAAATGAAAGCAAACAAAAGAAATTTATTCAGAGACAAGAAACGACCCAAACCCTTACCTTAATTGAGCGAAGTTATTGAAATGTTTCAGTGTTACTGCTTACCTCTTTCTGGTAAAAGAAAGTTGGAGTCAAAGTCACGAACCCAACAACACTTGCAATCCTCATCAAAGCAAGCAGAAGACACGTGGGTGAGATGAACACCGAAAATATTCTTTTAACACGCGTCGCATGCGCTGAAAAATGAAAACAAATCAATTAATCAAAGAGTAGATAGTGAAATTAGATATGACATCACGAGGTTGTTTATTTTCGCCACTTGCATTCAGCTTTTTATACGGAGTTAGGAAAAGCGTGAAGGAACTCGTTCACAATTGCTTCAGATTCAAAAGCTCGAAGTAAAGATAGACGCATTGACGAACAGGACGCGATTCAGCTTGGGGGTTTCAAAATGACAGGCCAAGACAAACCAACTGGATTCAAACGCAGCAACCCTCGAGTATTGTCCTTAAGGTACTTGATACGACTTTACTGAATGTCCTTAATAGTGGCATTACCCGGAAACCATTGGTCAGTTCACCGACAAATATCAGGCGAAGTGACCGGTAACCATAGTGGCTCTTAGGGATTGAACCAGCCGCGTCAACCTGCTTTACATGTACAGTATTTACTCGGCTGTAAGTCCAGCTTGGCTATAAGACGAGATACCAAACTTATAAAATGTAGAAGCAGTCTAACAAACACGGAAAATAAAGCAAGAACAACTGGCTAATGACTGATTTTAATTTTTAACAAAAACCTGACATTTACGTAAAAGAAGTTACACTGAAAACTACTTATACATCAAATGAAAGGTACATTAATTTCTTTCCTTCACGTTTACATTTTATAGGCAGCATCTTTACATACCTATGCTTACTTTCGCCATCGATAAGAACACCTTGAGGAATGAACGGTTATCGGCGACTTGTCTATTTAAAAAGCATAGGGTATAAAAAAAATTACCAAAGATTTGCAGCAGAGCCTATGTTTCCGACCGAAACAAACTGCATATGTACACGAATAAATAAATAAATAAATATGCATAATAAATGAGATATTTTTGAGAGAGACAACACGGAAAAATAAAGGAAACAGTAAACAGAAACCAGCAACGAACTCAACCCACAGTGACATATCACCTCAGCTTTATGGAGGTTTCGTCCAATTGTTAGTTCGTTCCCTACCACCTTTGCGAGTTCGCCCACTGTAATCAAACAAATTGTCCTTTACTTTCACAAGGTTGCCCCCAAATCCTTCTACTTGTGTCCTCACGGCAGATAGTATTTATTTTCAGTCGAAATCACAAAGTATTTGGATCAACATGCATTATTTTTCCTGAGAACCTCCAGTTACCCCATGTCGAATATAAACCCTTGGCCACAGGGGTGGGGTACGATTACATTCTCTGTTGTTGACTTGTACTCTTTTCAACTCTTGAACATAGGCCCTTATTTGGAAGGATTTCAGGATCTTTACAATACTACTTTGTGGCCGGCCATTTCCCTAGACTGCAGTAGAGAGTAAAGAGGCCCTGAAGGGGGAGAGGGGTGGGGATAACAAAGGCTCTGTACACTTTCAAAATTTGTACCCTTCACTAGATAAAAACGAAAAGGAACTCTGAAGGAGTGAACGGCATTCCAAGAAAACTTCTCATTTCAAACAAATCAGAAAGAATACAGGTACTATGTAGAGGGCGGCAAAGGGTTTGTGCGTGACGCATGATTAAGCTCAAAATTAAGACGTGACACGTGAATTTCTCAGAAGGGCAAGGTAAGCTAAGATCTGGAAATTGTCCTTTTAAATCCAAAATCCGAGTGAAATACTGCCTAAAGTGCATGTGTTCCGTGAATTTTTCAAAATTTCGTGTATGAAAACACCTCCTCCCTCCTTCCACCCCCCCCCCCAACTTGGCTACCCTCTATGTAAAATGCAGACGACCTATCGAATCAGTCAACTCCTGTACGGTAACATAGCATATGCTTTCTGTTTGTATAATAAAGTGAGGCAGAAAAATAAAATGCAAAGACAGAGACAACTGTTTGGTTTATGGACAAGCAGGAACAAAAAACTTACTGTAGCCACTGTGACGGCACATCTAAGGAATTTTCTTGCATCAATCTTTCCTGTTTCATAGCCCAAACTATAAAAATCATCACAAGGCTAACAACAGCTGCATCAGATATGATACCTGAAGGAAAGAAAGAAAAGAGGAAATGCAATAAAAATATATTTTTCTTTTAAGTAGGTCAAATATTCAACATTTGTCTTATAAACATAGGCAGGTAAAACTCAAACATCATATAAACAAATAGATAAATACTGACATTGGCTCCATATATTTTACCAATGAACCAGACTGCAATTTCTATGGTTCATGATTTATGAACTTTCCTCCTGTTCTCCCAATATCCTGTGTGGGCTTAATTTCAGTGCAACACCAATGTAGAATGTGGTCTATTTCTTAAATAAATCAGTGAATACATGTATAGGTTTTATCCAAGGCATACTCATAACTGTTACTTTATCTGCTATTACAATTAACCAAACTGTGACTTGCACTCTTAATTAATTCAGCCATTCCAATTTATCTCCTTTGACTAGAATCTGTGACTTGCATTCTTAGTTATTTATGCCATTTGAATATATCTCCTCTGATTAAAAATCTGTGCATGGTTGCATGCACTGATCAATAGAATGGTTCTCTGATGAAGAAAAGACCACACTCCAGTAAATCACTGTCCGGAATTCTCACTACATTTAGCTTGTTGCTATCAGAGCTACTTGCCTTCTTCCTTATACAAGCAAATAAATAACACCAAAATTGTTAAGATGACTGCAACTCCTGCACACCTGTAACAGGAGTATTTGAAAAAAGAAATTATTTGTAAAAAGCTTTGAAAGAAAATCCTTTGGGGTCATTTGGAAATCTTTGGAAATCTTTATAATTATTAAATATATTTTGGAAATTCTGGAGGAGCCTCCATTGAGTCTGTTTGAGAATCTACAAATGTGGTGAATGTGGAAAAACATAGGAAGAAAATAATCTTCACTATACAGTCAGCAATGTAATGAAATTAAGGAAAATGGACTGTGGGAAAATTCAGAGCTTTGGGCAATCTATGGTTTAAAACTGCATGAAAAACTGCAATATTCTGTAGTATTTCTTTACAATGCTCTGAACAATGAAAACTGTATGCAAACTTTAAACAACCAAAGC